TAAAATTTTAATAAATAATTTTAATAAATTTAATTAATAAAATTATGAATAGCTAATTTCGTCATTTCCTGAATGTTATATAAGTGAAATCATACAGAATGTAACCTTTTGGGATTCTTTATTTCCCCCACTCGGCATCTCTTCACGGTTCATGCGGGATGCTGTGTCAGTAGTCTGTTCTTTGTTGCTGAGGGGTGTGCAGTGTTGTGGGTGTAGCACACCGTTTGAGTGTGCACCTGCTGAAAACCATCTGGGTTGTTCCCAGGTTGAGGCCATCGTGAATGAAGCTGCTACTAACAGACATGTGCGGGTTTTTCTATGAACTTGCATGGCCATTTCTCTGGGACACACGAGCCCAGGGTCCAGTTGCTCAGTGGGATGGTAGTTCCAGGTGTACCTTTTAAGAAGCTGCCGAAGAGTTTTCAGGGTGGCTGCACCACTTCACACTCGCACAGCCAGTTCCGAGTGACCAGTTTCTCCACACCCTTGGCCGCATTTGGTGTATTTTTTTATTTTAGCCATTCTGAAAGGTTAATGGGGTAGCTAACGTGATTTCATGTGGCAGTTCCTTAATGGCCAAGGAAGTTGAAATTTTTCTCTTGTGCTTATTTCACACCTGAATATTCTCTTTGGTGAATAGATGGGCAAGATGTTTTCCTGTGTTTCTAATAAGATTGTTGATATCTTACTGCCAAGGTGGAGCGTCCTCTATGTCCCAGATACTCGCCCTCTGTTGTATGCGGTTTGCAAATATTTTCTCCCTGTCTATCTCTTGACCTTTCATTCTCTTCCTATGGTTGTTTGCAGAGCAAAAGTTTACATTTGGATGAAATTAAATTTATTCAAGATTTTCTTATACAGATGTTGCCTTTGCTATCAAATCTGAGAGCTCCGTCTAGTCTTTGACTCTTAAAGATGTTCCCTCATGATTTTATTTTTAAAGTTTGAATTTTATATTTAGGGCCATGGTTCATTCTGAGTTGATTCTCTGTGTCATGTGTGAGGTTTATTTCGAGGTTTTACACATCTTACTTTTCACCAGGCTAACTCCCTTGCTGAAGTGCCGATTTCTGCAGAGGCGGTCTTTCGGCCACTGCCTTCCTGCGGCACTTTGGTAAACCATCTGTGAACGTGGGCCAGCCCCGTAGCCTCCTGGGGGGAGAGCCAGATTCTGCATGGCTGATCCCAGTTTGAATTCTAGCCCAGGAGGCTTGAAAGACATGCTGGATGTTCTCCAGTCTTTCAGTCTCTACCAGAGTATAGATTTAATGTGTGAATAATAATAATACATTAATTAAATAAGTCAATAAAAATAAATAAATAAATAAAATTAAATAAAAATAAAAAAAGAAAAAGAAGAAGAGAGAACATTCCACCTGTTAGAGGAATTTTACTCTTTCCTCACAGGGAATCCTTTTCTTTTACATTTTAAAATATTTTCCATTTATAGATAAAATGTCACTTGGATTAAAAATTCTGTCTTGGCTCCCCCCACCGAGAAAAAGAAGAAAGACATGCTGGATGCATGTTTGTGTGCGCCCCAAATCCCAGCAGAATAGAGACATGGAAGAGAAGGGTTGTGGTGTGACCACACCCCACGGCAGGGGGTGCCTTCTCCCTCTCTATCTCTCTGTCTCTTTCTGGGGGGTATACATGCTCTTGGGCAATTAAAAAAAATCAATTGGGCCAGCAGGTGGCATGGTGGTTAAGGAGCTGGATCTCACATGGATACCTCCGTGGTTCGAGTCCTGGACCTAGCAGCTTGAAAAACACCCTGGGCGAGTGTGTGTGTGCTCAAAATCCCCAGAGGAGAATGGAGAAGGGACTGTGGCATGACCATCCCTCTGGGAGGTGATTTCTCACTTTCCCTCTCTCTTTCTCTCTCTAGTGAGTGTACGCACCCTACGGCAAAAATCTAAAAAGACCCCAAAAACCGAAACACTCATGTGTGTCTATTTCTGGGTGCTCTGTTTCATTGATCTGTGTCTACCCCTCTGCCAATACCAGCTGCTTTGATTACTGTTTTGTGAATGCTGTGGTTAGCGTTTCCGCTGGTGCCCCAGTGTGTGGCCCCTTACATGGCCCGTGTGACGATGAGCTGGCGTCCTTGTCTTGCAGATCTCTACATGTATGCCGTCCTCGTGTGCTGCATTGGGATCCTCAGTGTCCTGCTCTTCACGCTGGTCATCCTCTGGCAGTCTGTGTTCCACAAGAGAAAATCCAGAGGTGAGAAAACAGACAGGGCCATGCACAGAGCAGGAGCGACCACAGACAAGTGCAGGCAGGGCCACGTAGCACCTGTGGGAACCTGGGCAGGTATCGGTCTGTGGCTGGCGACAAAGGAAGCTAGAGCCCACGCTTTGCTGAGGCTCTGCTGGAATCAGCTGGCCACTGTCGGCTGGTCTAACTGCCCCCTCCTGGGTCCTGCGGTTTCTACTGCTCTCACTCTCCCTGGGAAGATGGTGAGCCCGGCGCCTCACTGGCTCTCACTAAGACTGTGTGTTCAGACGAGTTCCTGAACCATTCCAAATGTGGCGTCCTCACTTTTGAAAGGGGATGGACCCCCATCCTCAGACGGGATGTCCTGGTCGGTGTTCACCTAGAAGGCAGGTGGGCATGGAAAGTATCCTGGCCCCTTTTCCTGTCTAGTCATGGCCTCTTCCCTCTCCAGTCCTTGGTGCCTCTGCTCCTGGGCTCTGTCCTTTGTCCTGTCTCTTGCCTTTTGTTTCTTTCTCAGGTATTTGCTTCTTTCTCTCTTTTTTAAAAAGAATTATTATTTTTTAAAATTAATTTTTTTTATTCATTCATTTATTTTAATATGACAAGACACACACACACACACACACACACACACACACACAGAGAGAGAGAGAGAGAGAGAGAGAGAGAGAGAGAGGTAAAAAGCAAGCCACCAGGTCCAGGACTTGAACCATGATTGGCCACATGGGAGTGCCCAGCACCTTAACCACCACACCACCTGCTGGTCCCCGGTACTCGGTTCTCTTTACAATGGCCGCCTGCTGTCTCTTGAGTCCCTGTTTCCCATCAAGCCTTGTTCACAGGCCCAGCAGCTTCTGTGCATCTCCTCTGATGGTCCTCCCTGCACCCTCCCCCCAAAATGTCCCAAATAACTGCAGGTGCTGCAGCTTCCAGAGCTGACCATGTGAGAATTGACCTCTGAAGTTAGACCGACCTGCTTCCAGTGGTGTCTCCTCACTCATTCTGGGGTTTGCCTTCCTCTGTGCACCTTAGGGAGACTTAGTAGCCCAGTCTCACAGGCTGTGAAGATTAAATTAGAGAGAGAGAGAGAGAGAGAGAGAGAGAGAGAGAGAGAGAGAGAGAGAGAACATGTTAGTCAAGGCCCGGAGTGCATTTTGGCAGCCAGTAAAGGTCCTGTGCTGAGGACAGCATGAGGTCACGGTTGTGTGGGGAACCATCCCTGTTAGCCCTGGGTCCTACAGCTGGGTGGTGTCAGGTTCAGTTATCATGGCTTGAGACCTTCCAAGCAGGGCAGCTGAGCAGTTCCAGAGGGGATTCCACCCTCACCCCCTGACGTGCAGGTGCAGCAAAGGTCACCTTGGAGACGGTGACAGATGGAGGGTGAATGCCCACAGGAAGCCATTTCCACCTGGACCTACAGGTGCATGGGGAGGAGAGGTCTGAGAGCTGCAGTCATGGGAGAGGTATCCCTGCAGGGCAGGGCCGAGGAGGGGAGGTGCAGCCAGAGCAGCCTGGGGCAGCAAGGGCAGGGCCGGGGTGCCCCTCTGGTCTCTTCTCCTTCACTGGTCCTTTGGGCAGTCCTCTCCTTGCTGTAGGCAGCTAGGAGCCAGAGACGGGGAGCACAGGGGTGCGGAGGTCAGCTTCCGGGGGTCTGAGCAGGGGGGACAAGGTGGAGGGGATCCCGAGGGGCAGCAGAGAACACAGTCAGCACCCAGTGATGGAGTAGGGGCTGTGGCCTGGCTCTTCCACCTCCAGAGGTGGGCCCTTCCTCAGCCCTGTGCGTCCAGGCTGCCCTTTGACCAGCTCAGCCTCCCTCCACGGTGCCCTTTCTCCCACGGTTTGAGGCACGGGTTGCAGATACACAAGGGCATTTGTTCCATTCACGAGGGCAGTGGGCAAGGCCGGGGCCATGTGTTCCATCCTTGGAATGGGGCCCCCGACAGATGCTCAGCAAATGGTGGACAAATGGCTATTTCCCAGCTGCTTCGCTCCCAGCTGTTGGAGTTTGGAAATCATACGGGCAGTTTGCAAGCAGTGGTGTTCTGCCTGAACACAACTGTGTTCTGGGCTCAGGGGTGTGATAGAGTCTGGCCCGAACTGTGCCCCCATTAGACCCAGGCAGGCCCAGGGAAACAGAACATGGCCAAGGAGGGCAGGGGTACCCCAGGAGCACTGGGCGTCCACCTCCCAGACTCACAGGGAGCCTTCGGAGATGGGGAGCCCCCAGCCTGGGCTCCAGACAGCTCATGTGCACCTGTGCACTGCCTTTGAAAGCCTTGCTCAGCTGCCGAGAGCTTCCTGTGAGCACCTGTCACAGCAGGCGCCTGGCTGGGCTCCTGCATGCTCCCATGTGGTCATGGGTGGCAGCCTGCATTGTTCATGCTCAACAGGGAACACGACTGATGGGGTTGATAAAGTTCCAGGACAGGGGAGTGGTAGAGGCCCAGCCTTAACCCAAGCCTTTTACATTTCTGTTCAAGGAAAGCCAAGCTGTCAGAGGTTGTCCTTGTCAGAGGAATGTCCCTACAGCTTCCATGGCAGTTGTCGCTGAGGCTTTTCCTAAGTAGCTCTAACTAGCTCCTGCGGCTCCTGGGAAGTTGACTTTGGCCTGGGGCAGCTCTCCTCTGCAGGTCCGGCTGGCATCTCTAGTCCTCCCCAGGCAGACCCTGCCTTGCATGGCCCTAGGCGTCCGGCACCTCTCTTGCTGCACTGTTGCGGGGCCGCTATGGTGCCCAGGAAGGCGGCTGCAGGCTCAGAGCCAGCCGGTGGTGTTCCAGAGCAAGCAGGCAGGTAGATTTGCGAGGGTCCCCTAGCATCCAATGAGGCCTGGATTACAGAAACCTGCCCAGTGTTTTTCCTTGATTAAATTTAATAACAAAGATGATATGATGGAGGATAGAGGAGCACCAATAAATATGGGCTACTTTGCCACTGACGGACTTCTTTCCTGGTTCTGAAGACAGAGCTTGAAGCAATTGCGTTTCCTGTCTTCGAACGACTCTTACACAGAGAGCACATACAGTAGCCCCAAATATTCACAGCATCCACTGCTGTGTAACAAATCTCCCCAACGGCATGGCTTACGGCAGCATTGATTTGCTCAGGATTCTGCAATCTGGGCTGGGATTCCCTGGGCAGTCATCCCTATGGCTTCAGCCATCTAGAGCTGACCAGGACGGAGGTCCACGATGGTGCCACTCTCAGGTAGCCCAAGCCCGTTTCCTCTGAGGATGATGCAGAGGAGCTACAGGAGCACTCTGGGGTCAGGCTACCTCTTTTCTGCTTCCTGGGTGTGTGTGAGGCTCGGTCTGCCAGGACGAGATACCTCGGATGGGTGCCTTTCCCACCTCTCAGTCTGTAGGCTGGAGATGTGGCCCAGGGAGTCAGCAGGGGCAATTTCTTCTGAGCCCTCTCCTTGGCTCTGCTGTGCCCTCATGCAGTCGTCTCTCTGTGTACACCTGTGTCCTGATGGCTTCTTTGAAGGACGGCAGTCATGTTGGACTAGGCTCACCCCAGCAGCCTCATTTCAACTTAGTCGCTCCTTTAAAGACCCTACTCCAAACACAGTCACATTTTGAGGGGACACAGTTCAGTCTATAACGTCAACTATGTGACTGAGCAAGTGAGTTGAGCTCCCTGTGCTTCAGTGTCTTCCACTATAAAATAGAAATAATGACAAGACTATTGTGAAGAGTAGAGTATCAAGTTGTGGTCTTCTAACACTTTTGTTTGCACAGTTTCTAAAATAATTTTTTAAAACTGTGTACCCTTGATTATTTTTTGTTGATATCTAAACTTTTTTTCTTTTTTTAGAGAGGTTTTGCTATAGGGCGCGTGCACTTGCCAGAACAGACAGGGACAGAGAGACAAAAAGTAAGAAATCACCCCCCAGGGCCGATGGCCATGCCGCAATCCTGTCTCCTCCATCCTCCTCTCAGGATCCTGGGCACGCACACACACACACGCCTGGCATGAGTTTAAGCCACCAGGTCTGGGACTTGAACTGGGGTCAATTACATGGGAGTCCAGCGACATAGCCATTACACCAACTGCTGGTCCTGATATCTAAACTTTTTATCTAAACGTAAATTGTTGAAAAATGTATGTAATTTCCAGAGCATTGCAAGTATGTCAAATGAAATAGTTACATTTATCTCTGTTTTATATCTAAATATCTTGAATTTAATTACTATATTTATTTAAGGATTTTATGAGGTAAAAAGGAAGACCCCATGAACATACTTTAGCTGTGAGAAATTTTACATTGCCTCTTTTTCTCCTTGAACTTCTACCTTTAGTCTATTTCTCTCCAAAATATCTTACTTTAATACATATTTTGTTTTGAAAGTGACTTATTGATTACCCTAGAACACGTTTTTCTGTAAAATATTGTGTACATACATTTAAATTATTTTACAATTTTCTTTATTTCATAAGTCTCTAAGTGTCACCTGGAGTCGTCCATGTGGATTTAGCTGTCCGGAGTTGTCCAGGACATTGTGTTATCAATATTGTGCAATATTTGGGAAATTAGTATAAAATTAATAAAAATGACATAAATGTGTCATAAATTCAGATAAGTAATTAATAACCATATGAAGTAAATTTTTATTTCAAATGCATTTTTTATTGAAATGGATTTTTATTTTTACTTCATAAATCTGCTTAGGGGTAGAATTCACCATTGATTCTATACCTATTTTGTTAATAGATGTTAGTGCTGAAATATACCTCATTTGATATAAAAAGGGGCAAGAATGGATGAAATTTTCTTATACTACCCAATACTTTACACTGCCTCTGAATTATATGTTGAAAGTCACAAAATAATCTGTTATTAAAGATAATTTTTAATGCTCTTCTTAGCTGACGAGTGGATTAGATCACTATTCAATCTTTGTTGAAAGCAAAATATTAGAAACCCCCTCCTTTGTGGAAGGCTTAGTTGCCGCATTATTAGTCATTTGCTTTCTCGTGACATCAATATTTCACATCATTTCTGGTTTGGTGCCCATAGGCCCTTCTCCCTGGGACAGGTCTCCATAGTATAAATCAGGGTGGGTGAGGGGGTGTGCCTTGATTTTGTGGTGAGAAAATTGTAATGCTAAGTGAGAAGGGGGAAGGGAATACAGCCAGACCTTGGGCATGTTCTGAGAACACAAATTCTTAGGAAAGAGCATCAAGGAAGATGAGGGTCTAGATGAGAGAATGCTCTTAAAGCTGTCCTCCGAAGAGTGCTCAGGGGCTTGCAGACCCGAGACTAAAGACCGCTGAGTCATACAAGCTTAGAGTAGTGCCAGGAACCTATGAAATGTTCAACAATTACTAACTACCATTTTTATTATTGCTGCATCTGTTAAGTATCTAGCACATAGTAGGAACTCAGTAAATGGAACGAGGAAAGCGTTTACGTGCTAGAAGGTTGGACCAGATAAATGTATCTGAAGGTGAGATTCACTCCTCTTGTTCTGGAACCTGCATTGGCTACCTGCATGACAGATCATTTCAAATAGCGTAAGATAGTATTTTATTTGCTGAGAATTCCGAGCATTTGGGCTGGGCTCAGTCGGACAGTTCTTGCGCTGATCTCGGCTGGAGTCATTCACACAGCGACATCTGTTGGAGGATCAGCGGGGGTCCGGTTGCTCTGGGGTCTCGGCTGGGATGATTGGTATCTGCTCCATGTGTCTCATCTTCCAGTAGGCTATCCAGGCTTCTTCATGTGGCAGCAGAGGAGTTCCCTCAAGAAGAGAGAGTAGGCCCTTAGCACAAGTGACATTCACACTTCTATTTGGTAATGTTCCCTTGGCCAAAGCAAGTCTGTGGTCAAGACCAGAGTCAGTATGGAAGAGAGTTATCTGTGGGAAGGGGTAGAAATGAGGTGTGATTCATGGGACCTTGATTGTAATAATCTACCATCTAACCCCGGGTCCCCCCTGACTGTTTTACTTAAAGTGAACCAACTGTGAGCCTTAGATTGCACCCTGGTTGAATTAAGTGTCTAGGTATTTTTAGTTTTCCTGTGCAGCCAGCTCATTTCGTTTTCCTCAGGATGACCTACTATAGAAGGATGTCTTTCTTTAAGACTGTTTTCCTGAGGTCTCGTTTTAGTACTGAAAGAACATTAATCATAGAACACAAATCTGTTTTATAACAAGGAGCTCCTAAATGGGGACAGATTACTCATCTGGTTCCAACAGGGCTTTCTCATGACTGAGGGAGAGCTTGGAAGCTGGGTGACTACTATGCCAACATCCTTCAGGTTAGAACCCAACTCAACCTGCCTTGACCAAAAATGACTGGTTTGGGTAATGTAGCCAGGAAGTCTTGAGTGTATGGCTTCATGCCCACGTAGATCCAAGGCTGGAAGAATATCAAGTCATTGTTGTGTCCATGCAATGGCTGCTGTCCTCCCCTCGAGAAGCATGCGAGTGCTGAGAGTTGAGGGATGGCACCGACACCCGGCCCTGCACTTTCTGGTAATTCTGGGAGCACACCTGTATGAAGGTGCATTTATTTACCATCTTCTTTCTTTTTCCTTTTATAGTGAGACATTATCTGGTGAAATGCCCTCAGAACAGGTAGGAATATTTTCTTCTCTCTTTTTTCAAATGAAATTACTTGCTATTTTGCTTTGTTGTGATATAACCAAGAAAGAAGTGAATTTGTTCTTTCACCTAAAGGTCTGCATGTCAGTCCACAAAGAAGCCTGAAATGTGTACCCTGCATGCCTTTGCCTATTTCTAGATTTCACACTCTGGTTATCATCCCCAGAGGGTCTGGAGAACACAGAGTTCACGCTCAGTCAGCGTGCACGTTGAAGGAGGCCTGGTGTGTGCTTTTGCAGGATTGCTCTCCCTGCTCAGCAAGGGGCTTGCAGCTGGTCTGAACAACTGTGATCCTCACCATCCCCTTTGCCAATGCTGACTTGTCTTATGCCTCAAGTTCAGCTGGTGGGTCATACCTCATAAGAAACAGGAGATACTGCAAACTCATAGCACTTGCAACTCTGGGATTTCTAATCCAGAAAAGATAGAATAGGTGAATTTCTCCCTGTTCTCCTCTAACAAGCACAGTTATAACTCCTGGAAATAACACAAGAAGCAACCATATGAGGACTTCAAAATGTGGTAAGAAGAAGCTAAAACTGGCTGGGGATCCCTGAACTGAAGGAATTTAATCAACTATAGGACATCTTAGTCTTTCCCATTCAACAGATGGAAGTGTTCTAGACCCGTTTCCACCCCTACCAAAAACCCAGTAGTAGAAAGCAGTTAAGCTCATCCCTCCCCTGGATTTCATGGAAGTTCCTCTGAAAACCTTAGATGACCTGACATCACTGGCAAGGGGAAGAATCGGGAGCCCTTCCAACAATGAACACCAGAGGAAAGGCTGTTTTTCCCTGCCAGCTCTGAGACTGATACTTGGAACTAAGTGACACCAGGTCTGAAGGGAAGAATAAGCAGGAGATACCCAGTCCCAGGAAGCGGCCCAGCTAGGGTACTTCTTCATTTCTCTGGGCCTCAGACTTGCCGCCTCCACTCAAAGACATTTGGCTTCCAAATCTGGGGAAACCCCTTCCACTCCCCTAAGCAGTACTGGCAGGACTCAGTGGCACCAGATAAATCAAACAGACCAAAATAATACCATAAGGTTCTGCAAATGAGAAGGTCATTGAAACTATAACAGGCAGAAGTAGAGAAGTAGGACAGATTCATGTGATAAACCTAAACAGAGAGACTTCCTGTAAAAAAGAACAGATTTACATAGACCCCAAGGTCTCCTAATGGGATTGTAAAAAAAAATCACCTATTGTACCAAAACAAAAATCACAGATTGGATGGAAAGATAATTGACAGATCAACACTAAGATGAATCAGGTGTTGGAATTACCCGACAAGGATTATAAATCAATTGTTATGAAAATGAGTCAATGATCAATTACAAACTTTCCTAAAACAAATGAAATGTAAAAAATCTCAGCCAAGAAAGAAGTTATTAAAAAATGGAAAGTGGGCACCAGCAGATGGCATAATGGCTATGTAGCTGGACTCCCACATAACTGACAGCAGTTTGAGTCCTAGACCTGGTGGCTTGAAACGCATATAGTTTGAGTCCTGGACCAGCAGCTTAAACTCATGCTGGGCACATGTGCATGCATTCCCAAAATCCTGAGAGAAGAATGGAGAAGGTGTGATTTCTCGCTTTCTGTCTCTCCAGTGAATGCATGTGCCCTATAGCAAAAATCTCTCAAAACAAAACAAAAAACACCTCATGCTGGGTGTGTGTGCGTGTTACCCAAGATCCTGAGAGGAGAATGGAGGAGAAGGGCTTGTGGCGTGGCCATCTCTCCTGGGGAGTGATTTCTTGCTTTCTGTCTCTCTGTCTCTCCAGCTTGTATATCATGTGCCCTGTAGCAAAAATCTCTTTCTCTTAAAAAAAGAAAAAGGACTAAAAAGTTCAGTAACAGAAATTAAAATATAAAAAACTAACTGAATGGGCTCAATAGTAGAATGGAGATTTCAGTGGATAGTTAGTGAACTTGAAGACACTTAACAGAATTAATCTAATCTGAACAACAAAGTGAAAACAGACTAAAATGAACAATAGTCCTCAAGGACATGGGGGACAGATGATCCAATATTCTGCTGTCGGAGTTCCAGAAGGAAAGGGGAAACAGAGGAGAGCTGATGGAGTATTGGAAAAATAATGCAGAAAACACTCTAAATTTGGAGAAAGGCGAAGACCTAAAGATTTAAGAAAGTGCATGAATGATAAGTAGGATAAACCCAATGAAATCCATTTGAAGACAAATCACAATTCAATAGAAGACAAATTTGAATGACAATACATTTCTCTATGAATCCTTATAGGGCAGAAAGAAGTGTTGTATTTTTCAAACACTGAAAGAAAAGAACCATCAAACGCAAATCTTATATCCAGTAAAATTGTCCTTCAGAAATGAAGGGGGACCTGGCCCCATAGCCTCGTGGTTAAGGGAGCCTATCCCACATGGCTGACTGGTTCAAATCCTGGCCCCGGTGATTTGAAAAACACAGCGTGTGTGTGCTTGCATGCCCCAAATTCCAACCGTACGGAGCAATGGAGGAGAAGGGATTGTGGCATGGCCTTGCCCCACGAGGGCGTACCTTTTCCCCTCTCTTTTTCTCTGTCTATCTCTGGTAAGCTCATGTGCCCTTGGACAATTAAAAACAAGAATGAAAGAAGTGAAAACATTCTCAGATGAAGGAAAATGAAAAGAATGTCGTTAACAGACCTACTCTGAAATAATGACTAAAAGAAATTCTTGAAAACAGGAAAAAATCTTGGAGCGTTAGGAGGGAAAAGCACAGTGGAAGGAGTAGAAATATGAGTGCATACAGCAGACAGTTCTTTTCATTAATAGTCAAGAGTTTAAAAATTATATTTGAAAATCAAAAAATTACAGAACTATCTGATAGTCAAGAAAATAATATGTAAAAGTGAGGAAGGCAAAAATGACCTAAAGAAAAGTGAGGTCTCCATACTTCACTTATAGCGATGGGATGTTGGTTCCAGGAGGTTGTGGTAAGTCATGTATGTATATGAATATCGTAATTCCCAAAACAACCACTGAAATATCTGTGCCAAAAAAAAAAAAAAGAGAAAGAGAGAAAAAGAGAAAAAAGGAAGGAAAAACAAAAAACAAATAATCTCCCTTCCCACACACACACACACACACACACACACACACACACACACACACAGACACACACACAGACACACACACAGACACACAGAAAACAACATAGAAAAATTAAGATAGAATTCTAAAATATGTTTAAGTAACATAAAGAAATAGGAATGAAAACCACAGGAAACAAACAGAAAGCAGATAATAAAATGGCAGACTTAATTGCTAACATACATCATTTGTTTAAACTGTAAATGGTTTAAAGACACTAATCAAATCACAGAAACTGGCAGCGTAGATTGAAAAACTCTGAGCTAACTATAGGCTACTTATGATAATTTCACCTCACACACAGGAACATTGGTGGGTTGAAGAAAAAGATGGTTAAAGACAAACAGGAACAAGAAAGTCAGGTGTGGACGTACCATGCCCAGTAACGTAAGTCAATGGAAGACTCGGTCCACCAGGGAGAGGACCCTGAGTATGTACGCAGTAAGCAGCAGAGCTACACGGGCCTATAAGTAGAAACGGCAAGATCTGAGAGAAGAAACGGTTTTGCTGGGGAGACTTCAGTGTGCCTCTTTCAGCACCTGCTAGACCTGTTACAGACAGAAAATTAACAAGGATATCAATGATCAGCCAACAAGATCCAAATGATACACAGCAAACACTCCAACCAATGATGGAAGAATGCTTTTTTTTCAGGTTTCTATGGAATATTCATCAAGATAGACCATACCCTGGGCGATAAAACAAACCTCAACACATTTAAAAGAATTGAAATCACACAGTGTCTCCTCTCTGACCACAGTGGACTCAAAGTAGAAATCAATAAGAAAACAACAACAGGAAGCCTCTAAAGATGTGGAAATTAAACAATATACTTTTCTTGTTGAAAGTGACAAGCTGATACTATAGGGTGTTCAGAAAACTCATGGCATATTTTTCTATGCAAAAATGCATCATGACTTCTGACAATCCTAGAGATTATGTATATTTTGAAAAAAAAAAGTTAAAGGATTTTATACTTTGTGTTTCCAAAACTTATTCTAATACTAGATATTGAGGTTCTGGTGCATATGCAGGCACACAGATCAACGGAACGGAATGGAGAATCCAGAGAGAAATTCCTACCTTTGTGGCCGACTGAATTTTTAAGAAATGAATGGTAAAGAGCACTTGCATGTGCATGTTGCTTAGGGGCAAGGAAGAGAGAGAGAGAGAGAGAGAGGCAAAGCGTACACCCCTGCCTGGGTCTGTCCTGCCACAGTCCCCTCCCTTAGGCTCTTGGGATCTGATGTGTGTGCACTCCTAGAATTCTCAGGTGACTGGGCAAGGATCCCAAACACGGCTGGCCACGTGGCATCCAGCACTGCAGTCTGTACTCTAAGGACTGCACCACCAGGCTGGGCCATGCCAGTTGGATCTGAGCAAAGACGCCGGGGCAATTCCGGAGGGAAAGTGTAGCGTTTTCCACAGATGGTGCGGGGACAGCTGGCTATCCGCATACGATCGCGCTCTGAGGCCTGACTGCAGCCCACGGGCTGTAGGGTCCCCCTGGGTGACACTGGAGCGTCGCAGTGTGGGACGGCCCGGAGTCCAGATCCAGGGTCCACCTGGCCTTGCAGGCAGTGCCTGTGAGTGCACTGGTGATCCTGGCTGGGGGGTGGGGGAGCAGGACTCTTGCGGATCTCTACTGCTCTCTCTCACGAAAGGAGGAAACAAATAAGCTTAAAAAAATGACGGAGACCCTTATCTCACATATTTCAAAAATGAACTAAAAGTGGATTTTAGACCTAGGTATAAGGAATATTTATATAAAAGCTGATGTAATTAGCTTTTAAATAGACCTAAATATAAAAAAGATATAAAAACTGATATACCGTTATATAAACACTTCAGAAGAAA